TAAGGGTGGTGAGACCCTGGCCCAGGTTACCCAGAGAAGCTGTGGCTGCCTCATCCCTGGCAGTGTTGAAGGGCAGGTTGGATGGGGCTTGGAGCAGCCTGGAATGGTGGGAGGTGTCCCTGCCCATGCAGGGGTTTTGGAACTAGGTGATCTTTAAGCTTCCTTCCAACCCAAACCATTCTATGATTCTGTGATTTCCCTCCCTTTCTCAAGCAGCACCTTAGCAGCCTGTGGTGTAGGTCACAGTTTTAGGTGGTTTCAAGCCATTTCTGTCCAACTTTTGCCCCTGGGACTGGCCAGCACCACGTGCCCTCCCGAAACACAGTAATTTTGCAAGTGAAGTTCTGCTGTGATGCAAATCAGAAGGTGTCACTCTGAGCCTGTACGTGTTCTCATCCTGGATTGCTCTTGGCTAACAATACCTAGTAAAATGAGGGCCTGGTGCTTGTACAAGTTATGATCTTCCTTGTGTGTAGATGCAAATGAGTTGCACAGTAATGGGCTCTGCAGAACAGGAGTTTGGCCACCGTGCTAGTTATCTCCTGTCAAAATGACACTGATTGTGTTCCCCTCTAATCTGCTTGGGGAGGAGCTCTTGGTGCTACCACTGCAATTAAATGTTGACCCATCCAGTGGAAGCTTGAGCTCACAGTCTGAAACAAGTTTATTCCAATCTGGTTTCTCCAGGGCAAAAAAAAATAATCTGCTTGCTGTTTCTTTTTCTAATGAAGTTGAAGCTTTTTGAGGGACCAGGACAAAGCTGGGGAGAGCAAGGAGTTAATTTTTTTCCTGAAGGAAAAAGGCAGAATTCATAGAATGATGAAATGGTTTGGGTTGGAAGGGAACTTAAAGATCATCTAGATCCAACCCCCTGCATGGGCAGGGACACCTCCCACCAGCCCAGGCTGCTCCAAGCCCCATCCAACCTGCCCTTCAACACTGCCAGGGATGGGGCAGCCACAGCTTCTCTGGGCAACTTGGGCCAGGGTCTCACCACCATCACACTAAAGAATTTCTTCCTAATGTCTAATTTCTATCTCCCTTCTTCCAGTTTTAAGCTGTATGACTCAATCCAGCATGGTATGAGATCTACCTTGTTGTCTGTTTGTTGTGGTTCCCTTCTCTTCTGGTAGGGGAAGAGCAGGTTTGAAACCTAGAGTGTCAGAAAAATGCTGACTTAGTTTCTGATCAGCTCTTAGGAGGCAACTCGTATGCAAAGCGTCTTCTGGGGAAAGCTGGCTTTTTCTGCTACCTTTTCCTTATTATTCCAGTTTCTTGGCACAAAGTTCAGTGGAGAGCAGCCAGACAGAAATTGTCAGGAGCTCCAAAGAGAGCCAGCCAGACTGGAGGGCAGAAGTTCCTTCTCTCAAAAAATCCCAGTCACACTCACAAAGTGTCTTTCAGCCCATGTGGCTGCACTTGAAAACTGCCTTTTGATGGGGTTGCTGGTGACAAGGGTGTTTATCTGGGGGGAAATTTGCCATCCTAGATGTGAAATTTCTGAAGGGTGTGTGCAGAATAATTTAAGGATGCTCTTTCTTGTGTGATTTCTCATCTCAGTCTGTTAAAATCCAGGAGGGAAGTGGTGAGGGAGGGGGTTTGAAAAGCAAAGCTGCATTTCTAACCAGAAAATGCTTGTGTGCAGTAAAACAAAAACTCAGCAAGCAAGTGCAGGTTACTGTTCAGTTATTCATTCACTGTTTCCTCACTCCCAGAGCCTTTTCAGCTGCAACCATAACCAACCATTGCTTTACACTGAGTGAAACCCCCTCTGTGTAACACTGTTCTGGTTCCCTTGTTGCAATGATAAGGGGGAGTGAAGGGATGGGAAAGCTGGTTGTCTTCAGAGCTTCCCACAACTGCCTGGAGTGATTTGGTGTCCTTTACAGTGTAGGATTTGAATTCTGTGTCTTCCAAAGCTGTGGGATTCTTGCACAAGCCCAGTGCAGACCAAAGAAGGTGGAGATTTGCCCCAGATAAAGTGAAGATTGCCCCCAGTGGTGTCCTCCCTGTTTGGGCCTGGTTCAGACATTGGGGCTATGGTTACCAACACCAGAAATTGTGCAACACAACATCCTTGGTAAATAGGGAACCTGTTTCTGGTGCTAGAAACCCCCTTTGCCTGAAGCTGGAAACTGTGAGTGGTGCCCTGTGGCCATGAGAATAACTAGCTTGAAGGGAAACCAGTGGATTTTAATGATCTGCATGGGTTTAGCCTGGAGTTCTCAAGAAGTCTGCAACAAGAAGGGTGACTAAAAAGTGCTGCCTTTTGCTGCTCAAAGAAATCACAAGAACTTTTTATCTCTTTATAACCTGTCTTGCTTCTGACCAAGTGTCCTTTCTTTGCAAGGATAGAGAGAGAGGTGTGAGGAAAAGTGAAATGTGAGTCAAGGGCTGGGACTTTGACTTGGGGAAAGTAAGAATTAATGTTCCTGATGCTTAAAGCATCAAAGTCCTGGTGCTGGCTGTGGTTTCACATGCACAGCTGGCACCTCAGGTAGCTTATATCAGATAAAGGCAGGAGTTTAGGGGAGGCAAGACAAGCCTCCCCAGGCTTGGAGGCAGGGAGGCAACTGAGCTGAACTTACCCTTTTGCTGCCCACACCAGTAACACTGCTGGATCCCAGGGCTTCTCACAGGTAACTGCAGGTTGTGCGAGTCTTGCTTAGAGTGGAACTTGTTCACCTTTGTAAGAAAATACACATGAATAACCATCTGTCCCAACGTCAGAGGTTATTGATGTTGCAGAATTCTGCTTATAAATACTTCAGAAGGGTTCACACCTCTTGATACCTCAAACAAGCAGCGTGGTGTTTGCTGTGCCGCAAGCAGCTGCAGTGGCTGCACTTCCATCCACTCACTGCCTGCAAAGCTCCTTCTGAAGTTAAGACCCAACTGTGTAAATCTTTTGAAATCACCCTTTGTCACAAAGTATGTACATGGTGAGTTAGTTCCTCAAAGATCTCAGCTGCTTAGGTAGCAAAGCTGAATAATTTTTTTTCTTTCTTAAATAAACACAGATGTGGTCTTTCTGTTTTCCCCTCAAACTCAGAATGTCTTCTCTGGTCAGGTCCTTCACTTGGAAAGATAGAATCATGGAATGGTTTAGGTTGGAAGGGATCTCAAAGATCATCTAGATCCAACCCCCTGCATGGGCAGGGAGACCTCCCACCATTCCAGGCTGCTCCAAGCCCCATCCAACCTGCCCTTCAACACTGCCAGGGATGGGGCAGCCACAGCTTCCCTGGGCAACCTGGGCCAGGGTCTCACCACCCTCATGCTAAAGAATTTCTCCTAAGATCTCATCTCAGTCTCCCCTCTCTTGAGTTTTAATCCATTCCCCCTGCTCCCATCCCTCCCTGCCCTTGCCCAAGTCCCTCCCCAGCTTTCCTGGAGCCCCTTCAGGCACTGGAAGCTGCTCTCAGGTCTCCCTGGAGCCTTCTCTTCTCCAGGCTCAACACCCCAACTCTCCCAGCCTGTCTCCAGAGCAGAGCTGCTGCAGCCCTCCCAGCATCTCCGGGGCCTCCTCTGGCCTCTCTCCAGGAGAGAGCTGTAGATGAGTCTCCAGAAGTAAGAGAGAGGAGATCCTTAGAAGACAGGAACTTGCTTTCTGGTGATGATCGTTGACCTACCTGCAACTTGTGTTGAGATGCATGTAGATAAATAGATGGAATTCCTTTTCCCTGGAGCATTCCAGCTTTCTGCTTTGTCTTCCTCTTTGGGCCCGGGTGCTCGTGGCCGTTTGTATCATTACTCTTGTAAAAATATTTTCAGAGAGATATTTTTAGCTGGAAAACTGCTTTGCCCAAGCTTATAACTTATGGTAATGTTAAATAAACTTAATGAAGGGATTTTATTTTTTTATTATTTTTTTTTAAGGCTCAGTGTTTGCCAAGGCAAAAAAAACCCAAACCACACAACCCAGCACTCAGACTGGCCATCTGTTGGCCACGATGTTCATCTGGGATTTGGGGGGATCTGGCTGTGAAGTTGTATCCTAACAAATTCCATTTTTTTTTATTACTGCAGGGGAGCTCCAGCCCTGGAGTGGTGGGTGGCTCTGCATGAGGGTGAGGGAATGGGAACTGGACCCTGGACCAGGCAAATCCACAGTGATCAGTTGATTTCTGACTGATGGTCAGGCCCTCTCTCCCTCTCCAGACTTGAAAGGATTTATGTGGTTTTCATCCCAACTCAGAATAGGCAAAATGCTTTAAAAATCACTTTTCATTCTCACCAAAGAAACAATTTCCTACGAGCTCGTGCCTGAACAATAGAGCCTTGATCTTGATAGGGGGCTGTGGATGTTACTGTAATGCTAATCCATGGCTTGGTTGGCCTTTGTGCTGCTGGCACATTTCAGGCACTATATAGGGAGTCTATAATCAGCTGCAGAAAAATTCCCTTCTGTCTCTCTCCTAGCAACCCCTTCTGAACTGATACTTGAAAATAAGCTTGCTTTCTATATCATCATCTAAATATTTTTGACACTTGCTGTCATTAAATTCTCTTGGGACTGAGATAATTTATCTTCAGGTCCTCGGGACTCCTTTCTAGTTTTTGTGGTCTTAAGGTAAAGCTTTTGAACTTCTTATCTGTTAGAAACCTGATACGTATCCAGGTTCTGCTCTTTTCTCTTGGATTTTACACTGGCTGTATTTGACACAAAGTCCAATTAATATCCTGAGATGATAAGGAGATAAAAAGCAGCAAGACCAGAAGTCACCTGGATTAGTAGGAGCAACCTGAGGGTCTTGAAAGGGATTTGGTTCTATTTTCATGAAACATTTTAGCTCGTGTGATGTGTTAGAGGCTGGTTTGGTAGCTGTGTGATCTTGACCCTGCACACACATGGTATAACCCTGTCCCCTGCTGTGGAAACAAGGCAGACTGTACCAGTATGAACCACTGGATTCCCAGTAGGAATGTTAACCTTGATCCATTGATTGCTCCTTCTCTTTCTGTATATCTGAATAATGAGAAGTGCTGTGAGAGAGAGCATGGGCATCAAGGAGTTCATCTGCAGAAAGACTGAAAAAACAAGGTGAGGGGTTTGTGTTCTTCCCTGTCAGTGCTGCCTGGGCATTTGGAGTCCTGAGCACTCACAGGAGCAGTTTCCATGTGGATTTACAGGAGCAGCTGATGAAAGAAGTGGATGGGAGTCCTGGACATGAACGGAGCTGCCCTGGGAGACTAGAGGGAAAGTCTGATGGGGAGAGGCTGAGGGAGCTGGGGTTGTTCAGCCTGGAGAAGAGGAGGCTCAGGGGGGACCTTCTCACTCTCTACAACCACCTGAAGGGAGGTTGGAGGCAGGTGGGGGTGGGCTCTTTTCCCCGGCAACCAGGACAAGAGGGCCTGGCCTGAAGCTGCTCCAGGGGAGGGTTAGGTTGGATATCAGGAAGCACTTCCTCATGAAAAGGCTGCTCAGACCTTGAGATGGACTGCCCAGGGAAGTGGTGGAGGCACCATCTCTGGAGGCGTTTAAGGACAGGCTGGATGTGGCACTTGATGCCCTGGTCTGGCTGATGTGGTGGTGTCAGGTCATGGGTTGGACTTGATGATCTCAGAGGTCTGTCCAGCCTCAGTAATTCTGGGATTCTGTGAAAGCTCAGGAGCTGCTGTGAACAGTCTGGTGACCTTCATTGTTGAAGTTTTGTTCCAAATTATTGATTCTTTTTCCCTGATTCTCTTTTCCTGGGGCTTCCTGAAGCTGTACTTGGCTGGAAGACATGGAGAATTTCTTCCTGGGAGCTACTTGGGCTTGCTGCAGCATCTGGCACCAGGCCCTGGCTACCTTGGAATCCAGGAATAGGGATTCATTGTGCCAGAGGCACAGCTGGGTTCCTTAATTCTTTTGGGTCTCCAAACTGGCAACTCGTTCTTGGATCCGAGGCAGCTGATGCATTTCTGGCCTGTTTGGAAGGGAATTCATTTGGGATTTGGTTGTAAGACTTTTGCCTCATGGAAAAAAGTCTGTCTGAGCTGAGAAAATAGTTGGGTCAGAGCCTGCGTTCTTCCCTGGGAGGTACATTGCCCTCAGCTGTGGTGGAGCTTTCTCTGAGGACATGGTCCAGAGGGACAGTCCTCTGAATGTGTCTTCTGCAGCTCCCTCAGGCTTTTCCCTTGTGCTGCTCCAGGGTTCCCTGGTACGACTTTGTGGGATAGAGAAGCCTTCATGTTCCTGATCTTCTTGGAGTCCCAGCTTGTGCATTGAATGTTTCCTGGGGATCATGTGTGCTGAGGGAATAGATCTGAAGACTTCCTGGAGGTGGAAAGAGCTTGTAGGGTGTAAATGTTCTGTCTTCTGTCATGGCTCCGTGCACTTCTGCTAATGCTCTCTATCATTTTCTTAGTGCAGTTTTGAGATTTCCAATTCTTGGATATTTCTGTCCTTAGAGAAGACTTGGTGGAGGGAGGAAAGGGAAGATGGATCACTCTGCTTGTGTTAGGAGGTGGAGGCTCACGTGGAATTCACCCCGTGCTCAGGAAAGAGGGCTTCCCCAGCCTCCTCAGTCCTGCTAATGCACTTCCAGAGATTTCCCCTGTGTTGATACTAGGGCTTTATTGCAGAAATTCCCTTTGGTTTCAGCCTGTCCCCAGACTCTTGTATCGTGTTAACAAACGATGCTGTTGTTCTCAAATGCATCCACATCCCACTACATATCCCTTTCGTGAGCCTAACTCCCTGCTTTTTGCTAAGAATTTTAGGTCCTTGCTACAAATATGGCACCACTTTGCTTACTAATAGTTTGTTGGACTTGGGAGCACTAGGACTGGATTTGAGTGCAGAAAGCTCTGTCTTAATTTATGGGTGGTATTAAGTTGAGGACTGAAGTGAACAGAAGCTGCAGCTGCTCAGGAGCTCACTCTGAATATCAGAGAGTTGTTTGTTGTTTTTTTTTTTTATTAAAAGGTACTTGATTTAGTCCTAGGTAAACCCATTTGTATTTAGCTTGACCCACAAAGCTGCTGGAAGTGTGAACATCCTGCAGTGTGAAACCTTTCACTCTCGGGCATCGTAGACACTGGGTTTGTGTAAGACCCATTACTCAACGTGGATTAGTTATCAGTGAGATCATAGAATTATAGATTGAGGTCCCTTCCAACCCAAACCAAAGATCACCTGGTTCCAACTAACTGCAAAAGGGATGACATCTGCTAGGTTGCTCCAAGCCCCATCCAACCTGCCCTTCAACACTGCCAGGGATGGGGCAGCCACAGCTTCTCTGGGCAACCTGGGCCAGGCTCTCCCCACCCTCACAGCACAGAATTTCTCCCTCACATCTCATCTCCAGCTCCCTCTGCCAGCTGGAAACCCTTCCCCCTGCTCCCATCCCTCCATGCCCTTGTCCCAGGTTCCTCCCCAGCTTTCCTGGAGCCCCTTCAAGCACTGGAAGCTGCTCTAAGGTCTCCCTGGAGCCTTCTCTTCTCCAGGCTGAATACCCTAACTCTCCCAGCCTGTCCTCACAGGAGAAGTGCTCCAGCCCTCTCATAATTTGAAAAAGAACTTAGTTAAGCCTATATTTAAAATTTACTCTCATGGTACTGAGTGACATGAAAAGATCTGGTGACAAATGTCCCTTAAGATCAGGTCTGAAGCTGCAGAGCTGCTCTCAGCAAACCTGTAGCTTTTCCCAGAGATGCCTGTTGGCTTTTATCAGGGAAATCACTGGCACTTGGGGCAGTTCAGCATCGATCTGCCCTTTGTGAGCTGTTCTTGGGTGACTGCCAGGTGCAGGAGCTGCTTGCCATGGAACTCTAGGG